TTAATTGACCAACCGATCACCTCGAGCCACTATTTATCTTAAGCCATCATTTATTCCCTCTCACCACCATAATCAAGGTCATCAACCACCAAAATCATGCAATGCTTTCACCTCATCATTAACCAAATCAAGCAGCAAAAGTTACTTAAACAAACAGAAGTATACAATAGCCTTAAAGAATACTCCTCAACACTTTAACATCCACATTAAAAGTAAGTCAGATATTTCCCACCACAATCATCACCATTATTTTAAACCCAGGTTTATCACCCACCTATTTCACCAAACCAATTTCCACAGCCTTCTACTAAACCCATCCGGATTCCACTGCCAAAAACTGGCCTCCCCCCACCAAGACCAAGTAAATCAACCTATCACAACATCCCACAACAGCTAACCACAGCATATAACTCATTTAGACAACCACCAAAAAACTTCAACCCTCGTATCTATGATTTTTCAGAACATCGGATTGAAAGGCTGATTAAAGAACTAGAATGGGAACAATAGGATCTAGGGAAAGGTGAATATATGAGGAATAAGCTACGGATAACAATCTCAGAGTCGTGTGCCAAATTGGCCAAAGGTAAAGCTATGATATTACCACCTCCCACATCTTCACCGCAACCATCTCTAATTAACAACACCATTATCGAAGTCACTCTAGTTGCCAAAGCCACTACTGTATCTATTACTGTTGTCAAAACCACCACTAGAATTATAGCTACTGCCAAAACCACCACTAAAAATATTGTTGTTGCCAAAACCACCGCAGGTATTACCATTGCTAGCTCTTCTTTGAATTCAAAAATAGAGGTCAAATCAAAGTCTAGCTGGAATGTAATCTTACATGTTCAAGATATAGTCTAACCCCATAAAAAGAATAACTTACCATGCCTTTCCACCAACCCAATACCAATAACTTCCTCAACGTCTATTTTAAGCTACCAACCAAATTCCCCTACATTTGCCTACCCTTTAACACTCTCTACCCTGGTCTACCATAAAAATAGCTCGTTTACCTCGTCACCACCAGTGACTAAACTAGTCCTTAACCATCATCCACTTCCAAGTATTAATCCATTCATTACCTAGTAGACAAAAAAGTGGATTGATGTAGTCCAAAACAACATTGGAAAGATGAACTTTGAATTCATTGAGTCATCATCCTCATCCATTTTCATTGATCCTCCCAAAGAGGTAGCTATAGAGGGGATGAAATTTTGGGGATTAAACCATCTATTGGTTTTTCCACATATAAAAAACTTCCATTCAAGGTTATCCAAACATCAGCTGCAAAGATTTGAAAACTTCATGGACTAACAAACACTATTCATAAAGGAAATGATTCTTACTTCTTCAGGTTTAAATCTACAGATATTGCTGATATTGTCATATCCAAAGATCCATGGAGCATTTCTAATCATTCTTTTTCTCTCGTGAAATGGAATCAAAACCAATCTCAATCAAATCGGGAAAATTTCTTACCTACACGGGTTAAACTTTACAATGTCCCTCTATAATTCTGGACAGCTAAGGGATTTATCTACATTACTAGCTCGGTAGGAGTACTTCTATAATGTTCCGAATTTTTCTGAATTTTTTTCAAATTTTTATTTTATTTATTTTTAGCACCTCGTTTTACGTGCCACGCGGGTCCAAAGGGCCATTTAGGTCATTTTCTTGAGCTGAGGGTTTTAGAGGTGTATTTTATTTATTTTAAGTCAATTAGAGACAACAAGATTGATTTTAGAATTTTTTGGAAGCCAGGACGATTTTTGGGTTCGGGAACTCCTCCCGGTTTTCTCATTTCAAGTGAGGGGCATCATAGACATTGCACATGCAAATACATATATATATATACATATATACGTACATGTATCTATGCATTAGATGAGATATTTTCAGGATATAAGTGGCATTGCAATGAATGAGGGAGGGCAAAGGAGTAACTTACAAAAGTTAGTATTCACTCACATGTTGACACTTGGCAAGATAAGGACCACATCACATTTTTTTATTTGACAAACCATCTCCTCTTCCTCTTAATCTCGTCTAGCTCTCTCTCTCTCTCTCTCTAGCATTTTATCTTCTCTCTCTACAACTATATACATACACACTTTAATCCAAGTTTTGAGAGACTTAGAGTGAGGTTTTGCTAAAACCATAGAAGGGAGAATTGATCTACACATCAAGGGCTTTCTTTTGAGACCATTATTGCACACACTTGAAGGATTTCAAAATTTGGAGTGGCTTAGAGCTTTTTTGGTTGCCATATTTGAGGTAGGGATTTCTAATGCCTCAAACTTTGCCTTTTATTGAGTAATCTTGCTTTATTCTTCATTATTCTATATTGAATGCATGATTATGAATATGTTACTAGTTAAATGTTAATGACATGATGATGTGTTCTAAGCATGCTTATATGTGATGAAAAATGTATCATTTTATGCTAAATTTTAAATGCAAGCATAATTGTGTTGATATTACCTCTATGTTGAGCATGTTTGTGGTTAGAGTATAGAAAATGCCCTGATTGTGCTTAATTTCTAGAAAATACCATGTTTATGACATTATTGTTACACAAGCGAAATTGAAGTTCAAATGATGAGAATAATCATATGCATGGCATGATGGTTAAATTGAATGAGAAGGACAATGTGCCATTTTAGAATGGTGAGGAAATTGAAAGAGATTAATAAGTTAGCCATCTTAGGATGGGCGGGAAAGAGGGATTTAGAAATGAATCAGGTATCGCGAGCTCGGTGCTAACTTGATCTAGAGGGAGCGCAATCCGGTGTAAGATGCGTAACGTTGATACTAGGATAGTATCAATCTCACCTCGGTAAAGTCGGTTAGTGTAGGTGGAAATTGGGGTCAGTTTGAGACCAAATTTGGGAATGGGTGTGCATTGCATTGCATTTGCATTCGTAGTGCGCAAAGTTATATCTATGCTATTGATGATATTGATTTATGGTTTAAATTCTATAAAATTCCCCAAAGTATGATCCCGATTTCACTTAACCCCAATGTGTGATATGTGGCTCAAGGGAGCCCAAAGGTGGTGCCTTAGGCATCTCCTACTGAGCCTCCGTGCTCGCCCCTTCCATGAACATTTTTTAAGTTATGATGAAGTTATGATTGGTGATGGACCCTCACAAGCATACTTAGGGTTGAATTGAGCATTTTTTGATATTCTTGAAATCAATGTATAATCTATGTAGTTCTTGTAGAGTGTTGTAATTGCAATCGTAAGGGTCCAAGCATGTAACTTGTATCCTTTTGGATCATTTTAACGTAACTTGGAGCATGTAAACAAATTCAATTAAGTGTTTATGATTCAAAACCATAAATTGATGTATTAATTTTATTTTTGCATTTTATTCATGCTTGTGAGTTAGGACAGGGGCATTAAGGTCAAAAATAACCAAACGGGTGTTCGGGATCACAAGCGGGGGCAAAAAGGGGTGAAAAACCCATTACTAGGCTTATCTGAGCGCTCTATGCTCTGCTGCGAGCTCTCGGCGCACGCTCCAGGGTGCCAAGGACACACCCCGAGCGTCCGCAGGGTGCCCACCGAGCGCTCCGAGGGTAAATCATCTTCTAAATCTTAAAGGAATTTGATGAATTTGTGGCTTGAAGTATGAGATATATAGAGAGAGAAAGAAGTTTAAAGAGAGAGAGAGAGAGACAGAGAGAGAGGGTTTCAGCTGAAGCAAGAAGAAAAATGACAAGTTTTGGTCATTTAGTCTCTTTGGTCAAAGGTGAGGTCCACTTGGACCCCCAAAATGACAAAATTGCCCCCATATGCAAATATATACACAATACAAGCTACAGTGATGTAATTAAACACATAACTACATAAATGCATTCCAAATAAATAAATATGAAATGCAATGATCTGGAAAAATAATCCCAGGTACAAAAATCCGGGTGTGGAACCCACCCGGAAACTTCTAGCTCGAAAATTCAAAAAATGTCAAAATGACCCCAAATACATTTCAAAGAGTCCTAAACTCAAAGAAATGTCCTAAACCGCTCTCAAAACTTTCGTGGCACGTTAACCGGTGCATAACATGTAAAACGAGGCGAGAAATAAATAATTTCTGAAAAATAGAAAAAATGAGAAACATTAAAGGCCCTCTTGTAATTTATTATACATCTATATAACATGCTTAATCTTTGGGGCAAAAAAAAAATTTTTGATTTTTTGGTTTGTCTTCTTCTTCTTCTTCTAGATTAGCTTTCTAGTACCTTAACTTGTGTTTGATATCCCGCTTTATGGTACAGTGTTACATCCATTCGTGGTTTATTTTATAGGAGGAAAAACCAAGCATAATACAATGTGATAAAAATAAAAAGGAAAAAATTGGTAAGAGTAGGGACCAAAACCAGGCATTTTACTTGAAAATCAAATGAAATATACCTATTATTTGTTTTTTAAAATGAAAATTGACATCCATGGCTAACGAATGTGTTTATAATTATAAGGTGAGCGTTAACTGTGAAGAACGAAATATTATTGACTACCAATTGCTGCATTATTTTTCTTTGTTTAGTTAAATGTAATTTTCAATTATTCAGGAAAAAAAAAATTAATTTCTAATTTTTTTTGTTTCTTAATTTTTTTTTAAAAAATATGTATTATAGAAAGAAAATTAACTTTCATTGATAGTCAAATTTCAATTTACTATCAAATCTAATTTTCAATGTCTGAAAATTCCATAAATCTGACGTTGCTTAATTTCTTTACTTTTATATAATAAGTAATATTTTATAATTTTTTTTTTTTTTAAAAAAAAAAAAAAAACAGACCCAAAAAAATTATATGACTTTTTTGAAGAATTTACAATTTCTCAAATTTTTTAGTTGTTTAACCAGAATAATCCCCGGTCCAGTAAATCCTTAAACTGGACCTGAGCCCATCTAGTCACCTTATCAAGGTCCCAATATATCCTACTGGACTCTGTCCGTCTCCCATGGCAGCCTAATTCCATTAGCCCACCTTTTTCCCACTTCGGCTTTATTAGGGTTTATTCCACTTCGGCTTTATTAGGGTTTATGCAAGTTTTCAAAGTTGAAAGTTCCTTTGAGTGACCAAATCAGCTCTCTTCACTTGCGATTCCATGGATCCTTCTGCTCTAAGCTCCCCCCAAATGCAGCAATTCATCGATGTAAGTTTTCCCTTTCTATTGTATATATACTGACTATCTTATATGTATATATGTTTGTATACATATATATGTATATATCAGCTTTATTGTGCATAATCAATGACGATAAAACATGCTCTTAAACAATAGATTTGAGAAATAGAAGTATAGCATGTAAAAATTACTATAGATTAAGCAATATATCAAACCCTTTTCTTTTTCTTCCGAATTATTGGGTTATGTATTTGTCCCTTTTCGCTGGATTTTGAGGACATAAATACCCTTCAAGAATGAGTGCGTATGAATCATTTAATTGGAAAGGTGTTCTCCTGCTAATGGTTGAATAATGTGTTATTTGAGTTGTGGAAGAAGATGATTTCTTGTACAGTAAGTTTGGAGAAAGAGCTGATGGCAAATAGCATATATATATATATATATATATATATATATATATATATGCTATTTGTTTCTTGTTTGAAAATCTCAGTTTCAAAGGCATTAACAAAACTAAGGCGTTTATAGGTGTGTATTTGAAAAAAGCTGATAGTAAATAGTAATATTTGTTTTATGTACTATTTGCTTCTTGTTTGAAAATTTTAGTTTCAAAAGCATCAATAAAACTAAGGTGTATATAACTGTGTATTGGAGGTAAATTTAATGAGGTGACAAAAGCTTATTTGGGTCAGATGTTTTGTTCTGTTAAACTGAATTGTTATTTGTTTATTTGGTCTCATTACAGTAGCGTGTAATCTTGCTTTCTCAAGCTGTCTGTCTTTGGTCTTGGGGAATTGTGTTACAACCTTATTTTGTTCTTAAAAATTTAATAAAAGCTTTTACGGTGCATTTAGATATGTAAATGAATTGGAATTGACATATTGACAATAAATTAGGAGAGAAGATTAAAGGAAGAAGAAGATAGCCCGTTTTGGATAACTAGTGATAGAAAATAGGAATCATAGCAACGACCCTTCATTTTGTTTGGAGAAGATATTAACCGGAAAATATATATATATATATATATATATATATATATATATATATATATATATATATGAATGAATGTTTCATCATGTGAATATAAAGGGTAATAATGAATTTACTTGTCACTTGTTACAAAAAATAGGGACAAATAACCTTTAAATCCCTTGTCCTTTCTTTGATAGCAGAACATGAGATAACATATCCCTCCTTCTTCTTTGTTACTTCCTTCTCCTCTATCCTTTTCAAACGAAACTTGAGATAACATATCCCTCCTTTTTCTTTGTTACTTCCTTCTCTATCCTTTTCAAACGAAACATGAGATAACATATCCCTCTTGGCTTCCTTTTTCTTTCCTTTCCTTTCCTTTTTCTTTCCTTCCAACTTCTTCAATCAAAAAACACTCAAGTTCATTATGTGGGTTACCTTTATCTCATGTTTGGTAAATGACTGCCATCTGAGTAAAACATATTTCGGTGATGATCTCACTAGGAAACGCTGGGTTATGAATCATGCTTGGTGTTTTTGCTGTTTCTTTAGTTGATTTTTGAACTATCTCATTTTTTGCAATTAAGAGGTTTGTCTTGGAAGCAATTTGAGCTTAACGTAGGTCAGCAAAATCCAATCGTAAGTAACTTCTGATACAGATTCTCATATTTCAATGTCCTTTTTGGCCTGTTCTTTCTTCAAACTGTTATTAGTTTCAGGAAAATAACGTGAATTATGAAAAGAACTACTGATTGGACATACCAACAGAAATATAAGTTAAGTGGCATATAGCCTACTTATAACAAAAAAAAAAAAAAAAAGGCATATTAGGTGTTTACATAAGGGAGAAATACATGGATAATATACGTCTCACCTTAAATTTTTATCCGTATACAAAGTTCGTAAAGGAAATTGAGGGAAGAAGTTTTTCCTTTTTAGAAAATTTGAATAAAAAATAGACATATTATTGTAGTGTTAAGGGCCTTTTTTGAGATATCATAACATTTACGCATCGGAACTACAATTGGTCGACCTATTGGAGGTAAACCCCAACTATGACATGTTATTAATGACTTCACTTTTATTTCTTTATCCCTGAGATATATGTTTCATTATTACTAAAGACTTGTGTAGTGAAGTGCTTTTGTTTAGTCATGTGAAACGTATACTTTTTATTAATGACATTATTTGTTAATTTTTTTCATATAAAATTTTGAGGCCTTCGCTTTTTCTTTACCTCCAAATTTCTAAATTGACTTTAAGGTTGAAGAAATACCAATTGCTTCTGACTATTGAAAGCCAAATGAAAAGGATGTGATGTCCTGATGAAATTGGAAGAGAAATCTTATGAGATGGATATGAGGCCTTTCAATGTCTTTAATACATTATCTCTGAATAGATTCAATAAATATTTGTGTCTAATAAGTATGTGTCTAGTTCAGATGATGATACCGAGATGAGTTTCAGGGTTAGAAAAGATAATTTAGAAATGCGCGTACTCTTGAGAACTTAGATGTTGTTACTATAAGTCAAATATATGAGAAAATTGGCATAGCTGAGATGTCTTTGCCTTAAAGGCCAATGACTGCATTAGTAAGGATTGTGAGGAGCAGGTGAATGACATGAATTGAGATAGTGAAGAATATGATGCTTTGATAACAGTAGGTGCTTTTTGAGAGTAAAAAAGTTTGAAATACAAATTGTGGCAAATCATAGAGGTGAATAATTTTATTTAAGTTGGTTCATATGCTTTCCTTATATTACGAACCAAGTTACACAAACTTGGTTGGTGATTGGCTTGATTGAAGGCTACCTCGGGATCAATTTCTGAGATGGAAGAGGTTGGCTTGATCACATTTTCAAGCTCATCTTTATTAGACTAACCTAAATTTGGCTTGATAAGATAGTGAGCAATTAAAGACTATAAAATATTAAACTACTTAAAGCTCAAACCAGGGTTTGCTTGGTTTGAAACTCACTTGAGATCGGATCAAATAAGTGAGTCAAGATTGATCACATTCTTTAGCTGGTTAAATTTTAGAGTCCAGTGCGAGCAACCACTACCTGGCTTGACTCGGTTCATTTAAAGCCCTATGCATTTCTCTGATTAATACATGTAATTATGATTCAGGGACTGAGATCCCTGAAGGTGTCCTATATGCAATAGTTGATTAATTTTGTGGCTAGAAGATTGTACAGAGTATTTGATATGAATATTTGCACCTTTTTAATTACTCTTTTGGTAAATTGTGTGATGTCCTCCAGTAGGCAAGTCACCCTAGGATGTTGTATTTTTTAAAATCTTTTCGCCTATCACTCCCAAATGGAGCAATAGTATTCATAAGCTTCCATGCGGGGACATGCAACCATGCGATGTACCTACACTTTGTCCAGGGACGGAGCCAGTATAGGACCAGGGGGGCACGTGCCCCTCCCGGATTTTTTCCTTTCCTTATTTTATATATATATTTTCCTATAATAGGTATATATTTTTATAAAATGTGTAAAAGTGCCCCCCCCCCCCCCCCCCCCCGGCCTTCTCAAATTTCTCCTTCCCTTGTATACTGTATATGTTTCCTTAAATTTTTTTTCTTAAATTGTTTCATTATATTCTATATATGTAATTTATTAATTTACCTCATTCCAAAAATATCAATCTCTATCTATATTTATTCACCTATTTCTCTTTATGTATACATACTCACTAAATATTAATTTTTATGTATTTAGTGTACAATGTGCCCCCCTTGAACAAAAATTCTGGCTTCGTCCCTGACTTCGTCTGCACCATCTATGGCTTGTTTCATTCAAAATCACATCAAGTGTCCATAAAAATCAGATATCAACTAACCGAGGAGAGAATAAACTAATAGACCTTATGAACCTTATGCTATGGGATTGATAACAGAATTTGTTTAATTTTCTGTGTTTTTGGAATGCGGAGAGCATCACTGCCTATTTACCATTATGTGATTCTGATTTCTGAATCCATGCAGCAAGAAAAGCAAAAAGCCATGCTCAATGAGATGGTGGCGAAGCTTACAAATGTATGCTGGGACAAATGCATCACTAGTACTCCTGGAAGCAAGTTCAGCTCTGGTGAATCAACTTGCCTTACCAACTGTGCTCAGCGCTATATGGATTTGAGTCTCATCATCATGAAACGCTTTCAGTCCATGCAATGAAGACCTCAAAGCATTGGCCCCTCCCTTTTAAGCTTTAAGATCTTTGTTTTTTTATTTTTTGGGGCCCCCCATTGGTGAAATTATCAGCTAAAAATATTTTGTATTTCTGGTACTATGACCCTCATCTTGGGCATCATTTATCTTTACTAGCGCTCTAGAATTTGGTTCTCATATTAGTTTTCTGTACTATGGAGGAGAATGGAATCTGCTTTAGCTTTGTGTTCTTATTTCGAGTTGTGTGGATCGAAAGGTAATACAGCTACCAGTATCCCCTTTGGCAATTTGTGTTTTCTTGTCATATCGGTGTTGTGTTATGACATGGATATTATGCTATTCAGGTCGTAACATGAGGTGATTATTATTCTATATCTAGACCCTATTTAATAAACAGAGTCCCATTTAAAACCTTCCTCACTCTTGTTCAGAACCCGGACACCCTCACGAACGCATATGGAGTATATACATCAACAAAGGCATGAGAACCCACCTGACACACCCCGGGTACTCATTATTAATTATATGTTGCATGTGATTTTGAAAAACTTGACCTATATCCAGATGAAGCTCCAAAAACTTGAATTCCTCTTTGTTTATGTCAAAAGCAACAATCGATTTGCCTGTTTGTGCATAATTAGTTTCAATAAAAGCATGTCTCTGGCTGCAAATTCTGGGTTCCTAACAAACCGGCCGGTGAAGACAGCTCAACGAGAAGGATGTTCATTTGGTTGTCATTACAAAGCTCAAGCAGAAGGTTGAGCCATTCTCAATAGTTGAAAATTGTCACACAGATGGGACAGTGTAAGTTTATATATATATATAGTATGACAATGAGCTTACATCAATTAAGAAACCTCTGTACATTACAGTAGGGATGCTATCTTTGCAGCCATAACATTCCCTACCAAGTTCTCCTTCCATGAGGGGGATTTCAATACGATTCCTAATAAGCATCTCATTAGTACCCAATGTAATAAATGGATATCGGTGTGCGTGCGACTTACCTATCTAATCTTAAAACAAACAAACAAACAAAGAGAGATATCGAGTGCCAGGACCACTTTCATGCTGGCGAAAGGAGGAGGAGTAACACCCAACAAATATATTGGAACAAGCAATTCAAGATACAACACAAACCAACGCTTCAGGGGTCAATAAAAAATTAAATACAAAGCTATTGGTTCATAATCACTCTTCGAGAGAGAGAACTATGCAAGCACAGAGTCGAATCCCCATAAATATATATCATATACACACAATAGCACGGTTTAGCTATGTGAAAGTTGACATTCTGATACTCACCTCAATCATACCCACTCAGTCCTTAAATGTTTTCCTTTTTTTTCCTTTTTTCTCTCTTTACCCATTTGTCAATTCACTATCCCTGTTTATTTCACACCAAATAATTCATCTGTCATTGCCGAGTCTCTGGCACTAGGTTGCCACTACTTAAACCAGAGATTCTATTTGACTGCCCAACTCCAGATGCCATAGCAATAACTTCAGGTGATAAGTCCCAGTTTCCACTTCTCCTTCCCCAACTCGAACGCCTTGGATGTAGGATACCTCGTCCCTCTGTGCCCTCAGAAAAGTTGATCCTACTTAAATCCGGGGACAAGTCGGTGAGCCCACCATCCTTGTCCAGATCATCGTTGTTGCTCAGCTGCCCTTCTTCAAATTCACTTTCAGTAGCGACTGCATCATCCCAAGCAGGCTTCCTTCCCATTTCTATGTCACTCGCAGCTTTCCCCATGCCTTGACCAACATAACTTCCACCCACCACACGAGGTGGAATTCCAGGCTCTTTTGGAACCAATGCCCGAAATTTGTTCTTGGATGGAGGAATGCTGGTGCAGAAAATCTCCATGAAGTTGTTGATTATCCCTTTGTTATACGGGTTGGCTCGTTGATCATATCGGTATCTGAAGTTTTCATACGTAGACTGCAAAAGCCACAACTCTCTATTGTCAAAGCTAGAACATGAATCTCTATTGTCAAGCAGGAGATGTTTAATCTGAAGTACAGGAATCCAAGAATTGATCAGCCACCAGTAGAGCATGCCACAAAATGGTACAGGAGGGGAGATACTTGTTTTACCATATAAATAGAACATTTTGAATCACAATGTGTTCCTAGAATTTAAAGTAGAACAAAGAAATCCCCTTATACCTTCATGTGGAGGGCTGCATACGAGGTTGGATGACCAGAGAGATGCAAAAACATAAAGGATATCATGACCAAAGAGAATAGTCTTTACCTGGTTTGTACTGATGAGATAAAGATGAAAGACAGAAAGGCCTCCTACAAACCAGACTGCTATGAAAGAGTAAATTATCAGTGCAATGGAAGCAGGAGTCTTAATCATTGCCCTCCAGACTGATATCCTCTCGTGATCCTTGATTCTCAAGATGTAGACCCAGCAAAATCCAAATACATATATGCAAAGAAGAGTTGATGAGAAGACAAACATGAAGAAGAACCGGTAATTCCGCTGCACCCAAAATCCAGAGAAAGTTCAAATTAAAAAAACCAAACATGGTCCATGCATATATTTGAGGCAAATCAGCCCACCTTTTAATTGAGTCAGTGTAACAACTGGACATTACAGAGTAGCAAGTTGTCAAATTAAATGTCAGAATCTTCTATTGCTAATTCAGAAAGAATAGCCTAATTTATGCATAAATTAAGTAACATCATCAGCAATATACGTATATATATATATATATGTGTGTGTGTGTGTGTGTGTATATATATATATATATATAAAGAATAATTAATGCTCATAAAATAACAGCTAGAAAATCTCTTTTGATCAGTGGTCCAAAGGGTGACTGTCCACACAACTAGATACATACCCCTTCTCCAAACCTACAAACCCCCCTAAAGTTGATCAGCCTTCACTACTCCACAGGGTAAGATCACCTCAGGTTCTATACATGTAATGGTTCAACATAATACACCACAGACTCCTCAAATATTTCATAGTTCAGCCTATCAATTATCCTCGTGATTTTAAACATCCAAAAGGTGAAGTACAACAAGAAACGGAAATTTTACTTGATGAAAAAAAGGAATGGAAAATTTTCTGTCTCTCACCTGCCAAGTCCTAAATATTTTTACATATTACATGACTAACTTTTTTTCTGATTGAATACAAATGAAGTGTCTGGGTACTAACACTTGGGTTTTGAGGTTTCTGTCTTGAACGGGACAACCGCGTTAGGCCTCCCTGTCAATTTACAGGGTAGCTTTGTTGGGGATGGAAAAAGCAATGTGTGCATGTTATGAGCAACCATTTGATAATAATCAAAAGATGAACAATCAGTTAGCCACCATAAATAATCAAAAGATGAACAATCAGTTAGCAAAGTTGGAAGACCATAGGTCCAATAGATCGTTGGAAGAAAGTTTTGTAAATGCCACTAGTTTGGGTTTATGGAACATGAGAATTTAATCTAAAAATTTCCATTACCATTCCAATACACTGTCCAACCCAAGGGCAGTGATGGTCAAATCGTTCAACACAGTTATTGCATATCGAACAGTGTGAACAACGCGGAGGTCTATAAAGCTTGCAGGTATCACAGTATTTGATCCTCACAATTACTCCATTCACATTTACATCCTTGGTTCGAGGCAAACGTGACTCTGGTGTTTTGCCAGCCTCAGCTTCGGCACAATCATAACTTTCTGGCTCTGGAGGATGTGCATTACGAGGAACTATACCAGGATCTCTTCCAGAGGTCAGTAGAAGAAGGACTATCACCTGGAAAAACAAAACAACTATCAAATCAGTTTCAAGGTTTAATATGAAATTTTCCTTGATATGTCAATCATGGTTTATATCTGATAGAAAGATTGATATAATAAACCCATTGCTTTCTCCAAATTTTACAAGTGAACCTGTGATTTCATAATTGCATAATAATTGTTGTTTTCAATCCCATCCCTGAAAACGAGGTTAACAACCAAAGGCTGACATATAAACACTTTCTCTTGAGTGCAGTTAGTTTTCTATATTGGGCAGAACTTGGCAACATACAAGGATGGTACAATTAGTCAATAGCCCGATATATAAGCACATAACAAGATGACAGTCACTGAAGTTCTCTTTAAACTAAGATCCATTAACATGATAAATATGAAAACACTAGGCCAACATAGTATTTTCAGACAAACCTACAAGTAGAAACTGACCATGTGATTGTAAAAAATTATAAAAATAGGTTAATACTATTATGTTTATATAAAAAGGGACCATTGACTAGTGCAACTGCAGAAGCTCGTACTAATAAGCATTAGGTGACAGGTTCGAGTTTGAGAGCAGAAAAATTTGTGTAAAAATAGTGTAAAACAGTCGAAGGTTAAGTCTATCTCCAGCCTCCCCCAACAGCAACCCATGTAAGCGGAATATACTCATATGTTGTACAGATCTAGAGATTACTCCTCAATGCGTACCTTTCTTTTTTCCGGAAGTTATAGCAAACCCACACCCATAACATGCCACTTATGGGGCTCGAATTCTCAATCTTCCTAATGCAGAACAGACAGCTGAAGATGTTGGAACCCGTTTGGACCGTCAAAAGGTCAAACGGGTAGGCTGATCAGTTTTTATCGGATGATTTCGACGAATCCGTTTTTGACCCAAACAGAGCCCAGTTTTATCAGAAACAAACCAACTCGCAAATATTGGCAGCTTTGCTGCTGAGGTAGGGCGCCTTTTAGCCAAATTCAATCGTTTAAGGCTTGGGAATTGCGTTTTCCCAAATTTGAATATTTCGGGATTTTCGTTAGAAGACTAAACAGATTCGATTTGCTTTCCTTTTTGGTATTTAGCAGTTTCTAGTAATTACTCCCTCAGTCCTAAAAAAAAATGTCCATCTTTCCTTTTTGGGTTGTCCCAAAATAATTGTTCACTTTCTTTTTTCAAACAATATATTTCACATTTTAAAATTTCAAACTTTAATATCCAAAACTTAAAAGGGCAAGTTAGTAAATTTACAAGGGGACAATACATGTGCCACATGTCCCCTTAAAAATTTCTACTCCCCAAAAAGGACATTTTTTTTGGAACAGAGCGAGTAGGTTTCTTTCCTTATTTTTACAGAATTTTCAAAGCAAGTTAGTTTTGGAGCAATTTTCTTGCGCTACAAGTTTCCTTACTTTTTAGGGTTCCTTTATGTTGTTAGGGTTTTTATTTATAAATACATGTACTGCAGAGCAGATCAATCATTCAATTATTAAAATATTATTAGATTCCTTTACAAATTATTTTTCTTCCTTGTGGATTCAAGGTACCACCTTGTGGATTCAATATAACCCTCGTTCCTTTGTGAACATTTATCGCTTCCGCTTACATCACTTCCCAATATCATACCATCTAGGCCAGAGGCCCAGTGGCACTCAATGCGTACTTTGACTGCTATATTTTTGACAATTTTGTCTTCTTTTTTTTTCCTTGGCAAGAAACACTCACACACCCACATGCCCCTATAGGGACTTAAACCCTCGACCTCCCACTTTAGGAGAGAAAGAGGTACCATTAGGCTACATCGCCTTTGGTTTTTGACAATTTTGTCCAATTTGTAGCATTCTGTGAGTGATGATTATAACACACTTATGTGCGGCAAGTAACTAATGACTATGTCAATAACTCAGTAAAAAGATGATATAGAAAGGCAACATAACATTAGCATGCACTTGACAATTAACTACCTAGTTCTAATTATTATTTCTCAATATTGCATTTAAGAATTATTGTTCTTTAACATTAATAAAAAGATGATATAAAAAGGTAACATAACATCAGCATGCACTTCACCATTAATTACCTAGGTCTAATTATTATTTCTCTCAATATAGGGTTTGAGAATTATTGTTCATTAATATTAATTGCCAAATAATCACAAAAAATAGTGCAAATTGACTAAACTATAATTACTTTCTTCAAATAAAAGAGTAAAAAGAAATAGGTGATGCATTATAATAGTAAACCACGTTTTTTTCTTTTTTTCTTTTTTTCGTTTTTCTTTTTTTCTTTTTTTTTGATAATAGTAAAAATAGTAAACCAGTTATACCTGCAAAAAAGAATTAGAAAAGATCATTATAAATGCATGCTATAATCTTTATGAATTGTCACCCAACTAAAAGTTGGTACACAAGAAACTTAGGAAGCAGCACTCATAACATACTCAAAAAAGCATCCAACCTTGTTTACGCAAAAGATCAGCAGTAGTCATGCATACCATGAAATTTATTATGAAGTTATTATTTTCATATTTGCTTTAGTAGTAACGCTTCTTCTACATGCAAACAAGTATGCATATTGGTGTTTATATATATATATATATATATATATGTAGACACTGCATTTGACCCACCCCTTTTCATCTAAAATCCATATTCCGATTGCTCAGCTTTCATAAAATCCAACAATCAATGCAATCACAGGGCATCAAATAAACTAATTTCACCTTTCAACATCAATCGTCAAAACCACCACACCATGATTGAAAATTACAACCTTTGATCTTAAGCAGGCCCACCTAATCGGGCCCGATTTCAACCATTTTGCACCAATTCTCAATTTTTGTTCCAATCACCAATGATTTTTGTCCATTGACGATTTATATTGAAATCATAACTTTTGATACCTTAGTCTCAATATGAAAGATCCACAAGTCCTTTTTATGTGTTCTGATATTCACTCAAGTCCAAGTCTTCCAAAGCCTCAAAGAATTTCTCAACTCCAAAATACTCCCTAGTCACTCATTGAAGAGCCAAGAAGGTCCTTAGCCCCCATTGAAGAAGGTGCTTAGCATACTTGAAGTTCCAGTTGAACCTTAAGGAAAGAAGGCTAGACAAGATTTAGGCCTTTTCTTCTTTTCTTTTTTTCTATCTGTTGTCCTTTTTATGCATGTCTGGCCAATCTTTGCACATAAACATCCCCATTTGTTGGACTCAACCTCACTACGGTAATTTGAAGGGGAAATGGTCACAAGCTCAAGGTAAAGATGAATAGTTTCCTTTTATTTTTCCCTTGGCAACAAACTCATTCCCCCATTTGCCCCTATATGGGCTCTTGAACCCTCACCTTCCACTTTGGAAGGTCGAGGAGATACCACTTGGCTACGGCCCTTGGTGGTGGCAAATGGTTTACTTGACCTACTTGTTTTTCAACCCTTGAACCCAGTAAGATTATCTTTAACCCCAATAAATGTTTTTAATTTGTTTGTGCATCCATATCATTAAATACTTCATATCTAGGTTTGTCATATCATTTTTAAGCCATTTGTTAAACCACAAAAATCATTTTCTAAACTGAAACTAAGCTGACCTTTTGTTAAACTTGTAGTAAGAATTGTATTAAAAGCGTTCAAAAGGGGAACACAGCCCTCAAAAGCTACACAAGGCCAAATAGGGCCTTTAGACACCTCAAAGAGTCCAAAAAATCAACAAGTTCCTCACGGATTTACAATTTCTCCCTAGAACCCAGCAAAAAATGGTACCTAGAATAGAGAATTTCAACGATAGGATTCTCCTTTCCTTCGAAGGATCTCCTATTTCTTTCAAGCCAAAGACACCACCAGATGCACAAAGGTTTTAAGGAAGGGTTCTATTTCCGCATTTTAGGTCTAGGACAGTACAAAAACCCTAGGATCCGGCCTCAAACCGAAGCTATGCCAAAATCTCAATAGGTATTGTCAAAAATCATTAGAATTAGTATTTTGGTATTTTCAAATTGGTCAATGTTTTTAGCACTTCTCCAGCATTTTTAGAGTCAATTTTAACACTAGAAAAATCAGTTTTACAGCCCTTCCAAAACCATCAGTTTGTGCCTTAGGTTTAGTTTTTGTCAAAACCCCATTAGAGCGCATGAGTTTCCCCTTTTGTGTAGCCATGCTTTTTTATGTCATTTTTTAAGAGACTTTCAGGCATATTTAGAATCTGCAAGTTTCCATTCGTCATTGTGATTCAGCCCCTAGGCCATAGCCCAAAGTTAATACTCTGTCAGAATTTTTTCAAAAATTGTCTAGTTGTCAAAATAGACATTCTAAAGATCTAAACACTCACCATCATTTTTTCTAGTTGTCAAAATAGAACTCTAAAGGTCTAAACACTCACCATCATTTTTAGGGTCTTAGCAACATTTTAACACTCAATTTACCTCTGAAAAACTCATTTTAGCATTCCCATTAGACCCATAAACCATAGCTTCAAGCCAAAGTTCTACCGGAATTTCGAGAGAAATTGTCAACAGGGTCAAAATTGCATGTTTTAGGGTCTTTAAGTTTTTTATTCTTTCCAAGGATTTTCCAGCACTTCTTATAGACCATATGTACCATCAAATTGATTTTCAAAATCCTTACAAAACCTTTAGATAGAGACGTAAGCCTGAACTCTGCCAGACTTACAGCAGAGCACACTAGGTCCGTTATTGTAGTCATTTTTAGGTCCAGTAACTTTGTCACATTTGTAACACTGTTTTATAATGTTTATAGGAATGTTTGTACTTCTGGAAATTCACATTTGCATTCCTCATAGGAGCCTTACATCATGTCCTTAGCCATTGCCCTAGCACAAAACTTGTCACCTTTAATATTTTTAGGGTAAAATTTCACACCACGTTTTAGGATCCCTATGATCATATTATTTTAGGCTATCCTTAAGAATCACGACATTCAACCGATGCATTGCCAGATTTTTGACGAGGTTTGGTCAGTCTCATCCTTTAAGTTATTTGAAGGTTACTGGAATTCTTATGCCAATAGGATTCTAATCATTTAGGTATTTTAGGTATTCTATAATTCTAAATATATTGGGATTTGTTCATTTAGATTTCTAGCCATTATGTGTTTCAGTTCATCCTACAATTCCAAATGTATTGGAGTCCATTCGTTTTAGGAAGTCATCTCATATTTAAACCTTATGCATTTACGTCATATAGGATTCTACATTTATAGCACTCATTCCCAAGAAGGATGAAGCCATTGACGGGGAAGGAATTTAGACCTATTAGTTTGGTGGGCAGTATGTACAAACTTATAGCTAAAGTCCTAGCTTTGAGGCTGGAGGATGTTTTAAATGGGGTTATCTCGGAATCTCAAAATGCATTTGTTGGTGGAAGGCAAATCTTAGATTCAGTTTTTATTTCTAGCGAATACATGGATTCGAGAGTTTGTGGTGTGTAAGCTTGACAGAGAAAGCTTATGACCACGTGAGCTGGAACTTATGTACATGATAGAGAGGATGGGCTTTGGCAATAGATGAAAAATGTGGTTTTGGTTCTGCATTTTCACACTGAGGTTCTCAGTTCTAGTTTCTTTGGTAGCTCGCTGTGTTTGAGGCAAGGGGAACTATGGTCACCTTTATTATTTATTATTGTGATGGGGCATTTACCAAACTGATAAACTGTGCCGTGGATTTGGGGTTTATTAGAGGTTTCAAAGTGGGCTGAAATTCTTCTAGTCAAATGGGGATATCTCATCTTTTATTTGCTGATGATACTATCATTTTATGTGAGGCGGATGAGGCTCAACTGAGGTATCTTAGTTGTGTCCTAGTGTGTTTTCATGTTGTGTTCGGTTTGAAGATCAACATTGGATAGAGTGTTGTGCCTGTAGGGGAGGTGGGAGAGACGGCTTCTCTTGCAGATACTTTAGGGGGTGGAATTGAGGCCTTTCTGTTGACATATTTAGGTTTTTCGTTGGGTGTCCCGTCGAGGAGGGTGGCAGTTTGGGACCCAGTCGAGGAGGGCAGCAGTTTGGGACCCAGTTGTTGAGCGGATGGGGAGAAGATTTGCTGGGTGGAAGAAGCAATGCCTTTCAAAATGAGGGAGAATTACACATCTGAAAAGTACCCTTTCAAATCTTCCAACCTATTTTCTTTCCTGGTTCCAGATGTCAATGTCCGCAATGAAGAGGATTAAGAAACATCAGCAGAACTTTCTTTGGGATGGCATGGGGGAAGAGTTCAAATTCCATCTTGTCAACTGGGAATAGGTTTGTAGACTGATCCAGTTGGGCTTGGGCATCAGGCAGTTGGACTTGTTCGATAAGGCTTTGTTGGGCAAGAAGTTAGGGAGGTTTGGGAGAGATTGGCATAAGTTATGGAAGAAGGTTTGACACTAAGTTGGGGATAGTAGGGGAGGCTGGTGCACTCTGGAGGTGAGGAGATCATCTGGGGTGAGGGTGTAGAGAAGCATCCAAAAGGGGTGGGAAGAGTTATCCAAACATGTCCGATTTAGAGTGAAAAGTGGGAGGCATATTAGATTCTGGTTGGATGATAGGGCGAAGGAAGACCATTAAAAGGGGTTTTCCAGAATTTATTCTGGATTTCGTCGAACAGGTTCTCTACAGTAGCTGAGTGCTATCGAAGGTTAGTGCGGACTGTGGATGTTCAGTTCATGCGGCACCTTCAGGGCTAGGAAATGGAGGTCTTGTTCAGTTCCTAGCCATGTTGAACAGTCAACAGATATGGGACTGGGAGAGAATGAGTGGTCCTGGGCGACTTCTTCTCATGGAAGGTTCAAGGTCCGCTCTTTTTACAGGAGATTAGTAGGCAAGCAGGGTCTTCCATTCCCTTGTAAGATCATTTGGTGCACAAAAGCCCCGCTTAGGGTGGCTTTTTTGGTTGGACAGTGGCCATGGGGAGGATTTTGACAATCCACAACTTGAGGAAAAGAAGGCGGATCATTGTCAATTGGTGTTGCTGCATGTGCAAGAGGGATGAGGAAACAGTGAATCACCTCTTTTTACATTGTTTAGTGTCACGGGTGAGGTGGGAGTTGCTTCTTGCCATATTTGGTACCAGTTGGGTTGGGTCATGCCATTTTCCACGAGGAGCACGGTCAAAGCTTGGAGGAGATTTATAGTGGAAAGCAAGTTCGAGATGCTCAGAGGGTGGTCTCTTTATGTATATGGTGGTCTCTTTATGTATATGGTGAGCTTATAGTGCTCTTTTGGATTCATGCTTTTGTATGTGGGATGCACTTCCCATTTGAGCGCCTTTCTGTGTCATATCTTACTTATTAAAAAAAATTCCGTTCTAATTATACTTCCCATAGTTACTCAAGGTCTCAGTTTACTTAGAAGTTAGAACTCTAGTTCATCATAAAATTCCTTTCCTTTCAGGATTTCATCTCACTTAGAAGTCTAATTTATTTATAATTTTTTTTCTTAAGAAGTCTAATTCATTTAGATGTTACATTGATTTAGAGGTTTAAGTATTTTAGAGTTTTAGTTACACTATGATAGCAACTAGGACGCTATCATACACCCTAGGTTCAAAGAGTCTAGACATTCTTGGTTATAGTCTCACTATATGTTTCACATACATGGCAATTAAGAACATTCCTTGTTCCATGTCATTACTTTGTCAAATGTCTATAACTCCCTTAGTTACTCAAGGCCTCAGTTTACTTAGAAGTTGAACTCTAGTTCATCATAAACTTCCTTTCCTTTCCTTTCAGGATTTCATCTGACTTGGAAGTCTAATTTATTAATAATTTTATTCTCTTAAGAAGTCTAATTCATTTAGATGTTACATTCATTTAGAGGTTTAAGTCCTTTAGAGTTTTAGTTACACTATGATAGCAACTAGGACGCTATCATACACCATAGGTTCAAAGAGTCTAGACATTCTTGGTTATGGTCTCACTATATGTTTCACATACATATCAATTAAGAACATTCCTGGTTCCATGTCATTACTTTGTCAAAGGTCTATAACTAGTCCTATCGAACTGTCTAATTACCATGAGGTCAGAACTTTTTACGTCTAGTTTTAATTTCTTAAAGATAAATCCATATAAAATAAAATAAATCCTCACAAATTTTGACATAAACTCTGAACACAAACATTTGGGCATCATGCTGAATGATTTGGCAACCATGTAAATTCTATGTTACCTAGACTCAGTACGTGTGTCGGGTGTGAATATGTATTCAAATATCAGACATGTCGAATTCCCAAAAAGAAGAACACATGAACTACTAAAAATTCATATTATCTAATCTTTTATTTTATTTTATTTTATAAAGCAAAATAATGTCTTTGTGTTACATAGTGTTTAATATAGGCATTTCACCCATTATGAAGCTACATAACAAAATCGAATCATTTAATATGATTTTTAGGTGCATGTCTGATCAAACACATATCCCAGCCCCACGTCCGAGTATTGAGTGTCTGACACGGGTACTTTACCTACTTTTGAAGAGTCTATGTAACATAGTCAAAAGTATGAATGTGTGGGATTCCTAACACCTTCCCTCTGCATCATCAAACCTGAATTCATTAATTTAGTTTGGTAGACCATATGGGCCACTTTTACATAGACGATTTGATCTACCTTGTTTATGTTCCTCTTAATCATTTTTTGCTGACGTAACACACCAAAACTTGATGGTAAGTGGTGACTATTAAATTCAAAAGGTCCCATTCCGTTCATATTAGACGACATTGGCCATTCACAAGCATTCTCCCATGAGAGTGACGTAGGGAAAATTTTTGGGTTAACAATATATATGTATGTGTGTATTTTTATCTGTCTAATGAAATAATTTCATAAACACATGATACATAGCAAATGCCATTGTCTAGATTCTTTTTTTGTGGGTAGTTAATAGATAACATGGTTAAACTTGAGTACTAAACATCTTTCTTGGTGGGTAGTTCATAGATAGCATGGTTACATATACATGTGTAGTACAATAAATTTATACGCACACAAATAGCAAGTCTCATCAAATTTTTGAGAGTTGCCATTTGTTCGAATTCAAAAATCATAGAAACACGCTTACAACTAAGGTCTGAATCACATTTATCCGTGATACGTTTGTCAACTATTATATTTAACAACTGAATCTCCAACTACCATTATGTTATATCTGATATCATCTATATTGATATTGACTTACACGAGTAACATAACAGCATACTTAACTTTCGTCTTTTAAAATGCCAACAGTATATCTCACCTTCCAAAGAAGAAAGGGGAAAGAAAATTTTGCATTATTAGAAATGAAAAGCCACTAACTATCACTCGATATAAGCATCACCAAGAGTATGCTACCTTACAATTTGTTAAAAGTTGTGACACGCATCAACAGAAAACCTCATCAGAAAAGAACTTCAGGAAACCAGTGTGCTAAAAAAGGGAACAAATTTGTAGGATTTAGAGAAGGATCTATGGGGACTTACATATATTGTAAAAGCAACAGCCACCACCATTATTGATATTCCCCAGTGATGTGAAAAATGATCCATCAGTTTTCTGGCAACAAATACACAAAAAGCAGCTACTGGACCAACTATAAGGAATATCGTTAACGCGAGTGACCTCGCATCGGGTCCAAATATAAACCTTCCCTGAAGGAAAAATATCTGCACCACAGAACCACCACGAGTGAGAAAAATGCATACCGATCATTAAAAAATATGCTTCTCTAAATGAATCCAAGGATTTGAAATGCAAGGGCAATAGCTTAATTAAAATATAGGAGTGACCCAAAACTAACTTCCCAAAAATATAACAGATTAAAGATTTCAGACTGTCGGATAAACATTGACCGAAAGCAATCTCCTATTACCAATTCCACATTAATGGGCATCTAAAAACTTTCCCTCTAACAGTACATGCATGAATTAAATTGTCCCAAAATTACTTCTGGTTTAAACTACAATCATCAGCTTGTGGAACAGACTGATCATTACTTTTATCAGTAATCAGTGTGGAAAGTGAAAAATAGTCAACTAAAACACCAATTGAATAGCCCAATTTACAAATATGTAACTCTACATCTCTAATGTCAGTTGATTTACAAAAGTTGAAACAACTGATTCTAGGATATGTTTACAACCAACAAACCCCAATCTTGAGAAGCACATAGATCTGATTTTTCCCAAAGAAAACCCTAATTTCAGTGAGTAAATAGACCGATTGCACAGAATTATATCAATAATATATGTAACTCATAATCGACCTCAAATCCGTATCTAAATAACACGCACCCTAATTTTATCTACATAGAGAGAATAGAGTTTCAACTTACGTTGCTGCCTTTCCAGGTCTGGTAAGTCCGTAGCACCCCCGTTCCATCGGTGGCGCCGCCCGTTGAATCGGAACCCTTAGGCGGAGGCACCACATACATTTCTCTCTCTAAAACTCTTTTTCTCCCCCTTTCTCTCTCTCTCTAAAAGCATAAAAATAAAAATATAAAAAAAAAAAGGGCAACAAGTGAGTGGGAAAGAAAAGGCAAAGAAAGGCGGCTCTTTTACGAGTTTGACTTTGATAGCGTGCGTCGGATCCCGGCTACCACCGACGAGATGAAACGGTCGCCGGCGTTAAAAGGTGACTTTTATATACATATATGTACGTATGTGTGTGTATGTGTATAATGAATGGATTTACACTTACTTCGACGGTGGGAGCAATGATGAACAGAGAAGGAGGCGCATTAGATTATGTCTTTTCTTGTGTGACAGAGTCATGACATGAGCGAGTATTTAAGTGTTTGTTTGACCCATTCATCACATATAGTGTGACTCATTGTATGACATGCGAAAGCATCTCTCCCCTTAACTGCTTTACTGGATTTTATTGACATGTCATAATTTGATTGTGTAATATCCCATTAGGAGAAAAAAGTTATAATGCAGCACATTTTTTGTTTTGCTTGTTTTTTTATTAGGGTAAAGTACAACCACCCCTTCTATTTGACAAAAAAATCCTCAAAGAAACTTACGTTTTTTTTTTGGACAAAAATACTCCTTAAAAATTTAAAAATGGACAAATACACCCTTTTCCATGAGAAATTGATCAAATTACTCTTTGACCGTTTAGGAGACTTTTTTAACTTTACAATTTAATAAATTGAACCAATCTAATGAACAATTTATGCATAAAAAAAAGTTAAAAAAAAAAGAAGAAAAAAATGAAGATAGAACTCCACCACCACCACCACTATACTCGAATTTCAAATTCAATACATATATATCGAGTGAAGATAGAACTCGTGCCACACCCAAACCCAACGAAAATACACAAATCCACAGCTACCACTCTGCATTCTGTTCTTGAACCCTAATACATACACAATACATATATATATATATATAATCACATATATATATATTAGGTATATATCTGAAATCTATTGGGGGAAATTCATGTATGGGGGTGATGGTGCTGTTGTGGCGGCGACGGAGGGGCTGTGGTCGGAGGAGGAGATGGATCTGTGGTCGGTGACAGTTACCATGGAGTCTCCGCCAGAGGCATCAATTGCTCGCACGATTTCAAAGTTCGAATCAAGTCTTTTACGCATTTGAGGACCGATTGAGAGAGAAACCTCTCGGTTCACGAGATGAAATTGTCCTCGAAGTATTCTTCGGTCATCTCCAGAACCTCTCCAGCGCAGCGGAGAGGCGCGATGTTGGACGGCAAAAGATCAATCTTGAAGGCCGTTGCAGAACTTCGCGCATACACCAAGTTCTGCTACTATGACAACTACAACCTCTCTCAGCCCCGCCATTTCTGCAAGTCATGTCACCGGTACTGGACCCGTGGTGGGACCTTCGGAACGCTCCCATCGGCGACAGGACCTGGGTTGAATGAAATGGGGTTTGGACTTGGTATCGCGGTTTGGCCTTGTTGCAGAGAACTCCACGGTGGCGCGTGCTGTGATACCCTTAATTTCGGAGACATAGGTTGATCAAGTCCACGCTCAAAAAACCAGGGCATATCAAAATAATTAATATTTAGCAAGCACATAATACAAAGACGAATAATAAAGAATAAATAAAATACTGAAGAAAACTAATAAATAATAATTCTATCAAATAATAATTTCTCCAAAGGTTACAATTCGGGAATCCCATAATTTAAGGACCCCTTAACCAATATCCATTATCTAGAAATGCATAAATAAAACTAAAGTTAAATGACTTAATAACATCCTACTTTGAAATAAAAGAGTAGATGATAGATAAGCCTCCAAGCTACGGATCCTCAACTTTGAGACTTGAATTTCTACGAATCTGAAAAATAAAATAAGGTGGGTCAAAACCCACAAACAAGTTCCCTCTAACAAACCCCTGAAAACCGATGAATAATACATCTTTAACCACAACCATCCTAATTTCAATTTTTACCTTTAATATATAGTGATAAATAATGATACATAACATCGCCAATAATAATTAATACCTACATAATCACAAACCGTAGATTAATAAATATATATATAAATTTATATATATATATATACACATGACTATCCCTAACATAAACCGTTCCCATCATATGGAATTCCTCTTTCCCAAAATTAATCCAAATGGTTAATTATCCATTAATAATACCATGCTCAATCCTAGGGGCATTTTATTTCCTCCTATTCACATAACCATTACCATAGATGTTTATTTAATCATTTAATTCATATAGTATTTTATTCATACTTTGGCAACTCGTCCATGCCTCCACAAGTATAATATTTATCTATACTTGACCAATTGACTTTCCAATTATATCTTGGCAATTAATCCATGCCTCCAATAGTATGTTCTTGTTCTCCATGCCTCCAATAGTATGTTCTTGTTCATACTTAGTTAATGACAATTTATTTATATCTCTGGCAATTAATCAATGTCTCCTGAAGTATATTTTCTGCATACAAAATTAATAACAATATATATATTTATACCTTGGCAAATAATCCATGCCTCCAAATCAACCATATCCTATAAACATAAATTAAAAGCACAATAAAACATACAATAAGTAACATGAGTACAATACAGCATACACAAAAAGATATAAAATACTCCCTCCGTCCCGCAAAGAGTGTCGCTTATGGGGAATACAACTTTTTAAGAGTGTTATTTTTTATTATTTTTTTTATAGTAGTTGAGGAGGCCCGAAGTGACATGGGCCGGATATGACCCGCAAACATGACAGCCGGTCCGTGCAGATGGGTCAAGCCCATAGAGAGACACTGCCATATGGGCCGAACGCGAATAGCCCATCAAAGATGACCAAAACTCACAGAGGAACGGGCCTAGATCTAGCAATCCATTAATGTTTGTAAGTATCTATAAATAGGAGAAGTAATGGATAGAGGAGAGAGAGATATTTTTGGTTGAAATGTAAGAGTTCTAGAGAGAGAAAGAAAAAAGGAATTTCTTGCATCTTCAATTGGCGCCGTCTGTGGGAAGCGTTGAAGATTGATTGATCATTGATCAATATCGCGTGGATTCAGACCAATTCGTGGAAACGAAACTCGATCTTTGGGAGTTGGATCCAGATCTGAGCGATTGTGACCTACTCTGGAGGAATTTTAGTTCCTGTTGCTTTGGCGGAAGTGGCTTCAGATCTACGCAACAACGAGTTATTCGATTGTGACAGGATCTGACGGATTTAGAATTCGGACAATTCAGATCTCGTCAACCGTAAGTATAATTCGGAGAATTCGAAACCAGATCTGAAAAATTCGCACTCACGAAGCTCGGATCTACTCACGAACTTGAGATTAATGCCTTTACTCCGTTCAGGAATAATGATAGGTGAAAGCTCCAATCCGATGGAGGCTGTCTAGCAAACGAAGCTTGAGGAGTTGATGAACTTGATCGAAGCTCTCAAAAAGGAGAATGCAGAATTGAAAGCTGGAATGCAACATCAGCAAATACCCGCGGTTTCGCGTCCACTTCCGGCCGGTGAAGGAGGTGTTCAATCTAATATCGCGCATCAAGGCGAGCAGGACGAGAACAATCAGTCAGCTCTCCACCGTGATGAAAGGAGGATGGACGATTTACCGCCAAATGTTTGTCGAGTTGAGGATCACGAAGGATCGACTCACGTTGATCCGCGACATGAGCAGATCAGACAGAACGAAGCCATGACCTTTGATCCGCATCGGGAAGGGTTCAACCGAGAGGAAGTGATAGAGGTTGATCGCCGCCGAGTTGTGTCGCCTTGGCAAAGAGAGCTCATAGAGGAACGGTCGTTTGATCCGTCTTACCGGCCCTCCATGGCTACAATCACTCATCGCGGTTCGGAGAGCAGAACTGTAGCTCACAGAGCTACCGCTGGGCTCCAGAGAGAGAATGAAGCACTCCGATCCGCGGCTCGGACGGTTGATTCACCATTCACTGACGAGATCCTGAATGCCCCGCATCCAAGGAAGTTTGCTATGCCAGTTTTTATTCTGTTTGACGGAACAACCGATCCGATCGATCATGTGTACCATATCCAGTTGAAGATGGCCCTGAATACGGAAAACGACTCTTTAATGTGCAAATGTTTCCCTACAAGCCTAGCTGGACCGGCGCTCAGCTGGTTCAAGAACTTGCCTAGGAGCTCCACTGGTAGCTTCCGAAACCTGTGCGATCGGTTCATAAGCCAGTACTATGGGAACAAGCGTCCGCCGAAGGACATCTCGAGCCTATTCACAATGAGACAACACAAAGATGAACGTCTCCAGGCTTTTCTCACCAGGTTTAATCTCACTAAGAGTATTGTGATCGAATGCCACCCTTCTACAGCGGTTCAAGCCTTCAAGTTAGCCATGACACGTGGCACTCCATTCCATACCAGTCTGGTAGTGAACACGCCGACGACTATGGATGAACTCAATGAAAGAGCCGATGGCTTTGTGCGCCTAGAAGAAGAGGAGGCAGCCAATGCTCGGACAACGTTGGTCATGTCGACCGAGGAAAAGTCCAAGGCAAAGATCAAGCAGAAGCAGGCTCAGCCGCAACGTCAGACCTCCTGGAAGGCAGAAAAGAGGTCCAGGGAGGAAGAGCTGATCACTCCGCTGAAGGTCACTCTGGCGAGGCTATATCAGAAGAACAAAGATAAGTTTCATCCACCACTGCCAATTAGGTAACCCCTCGAACAGAGGGATCAGACTAAACATTGTGCTTTCCACTCCGATTTCGGTCATCAGACTAACGAATGCAGGAATTTGAGAAGGCAAGTGGAGATGTTGATAGCTAGAGGGGAGTTCGCGAGTTATGTTCAAGGCTCGGCGATAGAGCAGAATCGACCGATGGAGCAAGTAAAAAGAAGTCATAAACAAAGCTCCCACAATTCACAACCAGTTCGTATAATCAATGCTATCCACGGTCGACCCGAGCCCAGCGAAGATTCAGATGAGCTACTCCGAGCGCGCCTACGGCAGGCGCAGATGAAGAAAAGGGTCAACAGTGTGAATACTCTGCACCAACAGATCACATCGATACAGATAAAGTTCGACAGGACAGACCTGCAGCATGTTCAAGTCCCCCATGAAGACCCGTTGGTAGTCAGCTTGACAGTGGCGGACTGCCTGGTGCGCAGAATTCTGATTGATCCCGGAAGCAGTGCGAATGTCATGCCGAGGGACACATTTGATCGGCTCGAGATTAAACCAGAGAGGCTCAAGCCCACTGGAAATCCCCTGTTAGGATTCGATGGCAAGAGGGTGGAGCCCGTCGGAATGGTGGAAGTAGAAGTTCAAGCTGCAGAACGAGCTCTTATGGGAACTTTTATGGTTGTGGAGATTCACCCCTCGTACAATCTCCTGATGGGAAGAGGATGGATTCACAGAGTCCAAGGTGTACCCTCAACTCTGCATCAGGTCATGAGGTGCCTCGGACCCGATGGAAATAAGGTGATAGACATTCGTGGGGATCAGGTTGCAGCCAAAGAGTGTTATTCCGTCACACTAAAGTATGCTGGGAAAGGGAAGGCACCCGTCTGATCGGCGAGCCCCAGATAGCAATTACAGGAACCTCCGCCCAAGCAGAATAGGGTGGAGGAGTCAGTTGACTTGACCGAAGAGCCCCTTCTGGATGTGCAGATCGATCAGTCCAGGCCAGAGCGAACTACCAGAGTAAGAGTAAGACTGACCAGGGAAGAGCAGCAAGAGCTAATTGACTTCTTGTCTCACAATGCCGATGTATTTGCATGGAGTCACCTAGACATGCCTGGAATTAATCCCTCCGTATCCTGTCATTCCTTGAATGTCAATCCCAATTTCAAACCAGTAAAACAGAAGCAACGAAGATTTGCTCCAAAACGTAACCAAATCATAGCCGAGGAAGTTGATAGGCTGCTTGATGCGGGATTCATCAGAGAAGTGCACTACCCTGATTGGTTGTCCAACGTCGTTGTCGTACAGAAGAAGAATGGGAAATGGCGAGTATGCATCAATTTCACCAATTTGAACAAAGCCTGTCCGAATGATAGCTTCCCGCTGCCAAAGATTGATCAAATGGTGGATGCCACTACCGGGTATGAGCGTTTAACCTTTCTGGACGCTTATTCAGGTTATAATCAGATCCCTATGGACCCGGCAGATGAAGAAAAAACTTCTTTTGTAACCGAGCGAGGGACATACTGCTACAAAGTTATGCCTTTCGGACTAAAGAACGCGGGAGCAACTTATCAAAAACTTGTTAGCAAAATTTTCAAGGATCAAATAGGAAAGATTGTGGAAGCCTATATTGATGATATGGTGGTAAAGAGTAGGAAGAAGGATGATCATCTGAAACATCTGCAAGATGTATTTGATGTGCTGAGGCGATATGGGATGAGGCTCAATCCAACCAAGTGCTCGTTCGGTGTGAGTTCCGGTCAGTTTTTGGGACACGTGGTCAACCGCAGAGGCATCGAAGTTAGCCCCGCTCAAGCAGAGGCTTTGATTAAGAATGCCGAGCCAAAGACGATCAGAGA